AGGGATTTCACGTAATACCTGATTATTTCAGTGATTACGTGAAATCTCCGAGTGAAACAGGGATTACGCGTTTTCACTGAAATATTCAGTGATTACACGTAGTCACTAGGTACACGTTCTTACTGTAACATATATATACATAGAAAACAAAAAAACTGGACCACATTACAATTAAGCAACTTTTACAATTATCTCTTTTCACTCTTTTAAGAGGCCATTTACCTTTCCATCAACAACTCCTTGATATTGCAGTGTCTCACATACACATAGAAACAAAAAAGCTTGATCAACACGAAATTTGTACTTTCTTTCTCTTGAGACCTGCAGGTCCTAATTGCATTATTTTGATTACTGGAAAACTCTCACCAGTGCCTGTGGTGTAGCGATTAAGCGCTTCACTGTTGCACACAGGAGACCTGAGGTCAGTTCCCGAGTAGGAAGAAAATTTTCATTGAGTAACTCGGTCTTTCTGCTAGAATGTTGTCTCTCTCAGCCCAGGTTGGCCATAACAGGCAGGGACGGAAACATACCTCCTAAATTATCTACACTGCGTCAATGGAAGCATAAAAACACACCAACTAAATTTTTTTTAAAACCTTTAATTGCACGTCACTTCCATTTCATGTCACCATATATTCTATTTAATTTGTTTTCATATCAACTGTAGTTACAGAATACAGAGTATTTATAATCATTTACAAATGAACACATTTTGATCAAAGTCAATAAAATTTTAAAAGACACTCCCATTACTCACCAAGAGCATTACCATCATCAGTAGGGGCGCTCAGCACAAGAGGAAGCAATGCAAGAAGATTCCAAAGAAAAAGCTGAAGCTTTCGGTCTATCCCACTGTTGATGTGATACATGATCTTCAATCTACGTTGAAAAAAAAGAGTAAACTGATTTATATAAATTGAAACAAATCTAAAGAATCAATAAAAATAGAAAGAGTCCAAAATAAAAGTCACTCACTTACACTGTAAGTTAAAGTGAACACCACAACACATTGCTGTGATACAGTGTAACATTTGTGTTTATGTCAGAGATATATGGACTCCAATTATAACAGTGATCATCACTGGCTTTATCATACTTATGAGTAGTCCGACACCAGCAGAGGACCAAGATTCCTTTATTGAGATTTAAGTACACGATTCAGGCAGTTATACAGTGCAGAGTGAAAGAAATTATTTCTACAGAATCACAATACAACATAGTAAGTAACTGAAGAATACTAAAAGCATTACAGATCCATTTGCTTAGTCTACATCTTGAATCTTGACTCAAGTAGAAAGAGAAGGTGTATTTTAGAATTTATATATAAAGATAAAAGACAAAAGAAAACGTAACATGTCTTATCCAATCACAGACAATTTGGAGTGGCAAAGTAACAGCAAGCTGGAGCAAAGAAATGCATCTAAGATGTTCCCAAAAGCGAGGTTCTGAGCTTTTTTTTTGTAGTTTTCTAAATGGAAGAGGCTAGCCGTACTTAATGAATGACGGAGACTGCTAGGCTAGCCGTACTATACTGCCTGGCTAGCCGTATATGATGGCTAGACTGACAACAACAAAAAATAGGCCTACTGAATTGTAAATAAATTTTCAGTTTACAGTACCTAAAGTATTTGTATTTCAGACGAAACCAGGGGCCTTACTGACAGTGCATGTATTTTAAACCTCAATAAATTACTAATGAGATTTGTTTTCCGGTTATAAGCCGAAAGTGACCCTTAGGCGGCTGGTAAGTAGCAATAATGCACTCTAGTTTCTAGACAATCTATTCTAGAGTCTAGATCTAGAAATCTAGATTGTAGATCTAGATTTAATATAGAATCTAGATCTCTAGATTCTAGATCTAGATCTAGTTCAAGATGAGACTTTAGTTTAGGCTACAACATATTATAAACTACATTCAGAGACAGATCGACAAACCTGTGTTGTGTAGAGTAGTGTCAGAACCACTTTTGACTTCTGATTCTAAATATAGTCTAGAGTCTAGATTAGATCTAGATCTATAGATCTAGTTTGAACAGTCTGGGGTTTTTCTTTTTAATTCAATAAGTAAGATTGCGACACTATTTTGACACAATCTGCCCTGCGTCAAGATTATTGCGACACAACCAGACCCCAATCCGCCAAATGCCAAACACACAGACACACACAACACAACATTACAAATCACAACACGGAAGCACAATGCACAATGTTAGAAGGGAGAGTACTCCCGAAATATAATTAATTCAAAACGTATAAGTTAGTCTCCCCTGAACAACATCCATCCTCTTTCGAGGGAAAACTTAAATTAACTCATTGCCGGGGATAAGTGTAGATTGTGTTGTTTCAGATCGATTTCATTTTTGTCCAGTGTCCAGCATAAATTCAAGTTACTTGACATAGGCACCTAAACTAGATCTACGGCAATTTTTTTGTTCTTTCTAATGCATTTGGCATTTAAAACAAAGGGGAAATCAAAAGAACAAACATTTCAAAGAAGCAATACAGTTGTCGACAGTGTGCGTTGCCCAAGACAGGAGAATAATATTTTATTGTATTCTTCTGTCTTGGGTGTTGCCGCGGTAGCGTGTTCAGTGTTAATGCGTGTATTCATCTGTGTGAGTGTGTTTGCGTGTATGTGTAAGTGTGCGTGTTTATGTGCATGGGTGCGGGCAAACCGGGGCGCGAGTGTGTGTATGTGTGTGTGAGTGAGTGAGTGAGAGAGAGAGAGAGAGAGAGAGA